CATGCCTATAATTCTACTACTGGGGAGGCTGAGGCAGAGAATCATTTACCGGAAATCAGAGGGAGAGGTTGTGGGTTGAAGCAAGATCCATGCCATTGCATCAAGCCTGGGAACAAGAGCGGAAACTCCATCAGATAAATAAAAGTAAATAGAATTAACACTAATAGCTGACGTAGTGGCTCACTGTAATCCCAGCATTTTGGGGGAGGCTAAGGCAAGAGAATCCTGAGGCCCCAGGGAGTTAACGACCAGCTTAGGCATTTAATAGGAGAACCCCTGTCTTTAAAAAAAAAAAATTAGCTGGGTGTGGTGGCATGTACCATTGGTCTCAGCTACTCAGAAGGCTGAGGTGGGAAGATCGCTTCAGCATGGGAGGTCGAGGCTGCAGTGAGCCATGATCACTGCACTCCAACCTGGGTGACAAAGGAAGACTGTCTCAAAAAAAAAAAGTCACTATCATTCAACCACTTTTACTGCACGCTAATGTTGGGTGGTTGGGTGGAATGGGAGACAGAAACAAGCAAGTGGTCTCGGGCCTCACCTGCATCTCCAGTGTATAAAATAGAAATCTGGAGATATACTGCTTGCCGCGTCATGAAGTCAGCCCTGTTCCCTTAGTCCCCAGGGCACCCCCCAAATGAGAGGGTTCTGTGAGATGTAGTTTGAAAAACACTAACTTAGGGCAAGAGGGGCCAGGAGGCATCATCTGAAAAAGATTTGGACAAATTGGCAATCTGCCTATGCCAGGTTAACTCTGGCCCTGACCCAGCCTTCTCCTCTTGCCCCAGGATCCTCTTTGGAGAAGCAGAGGCAGCATTTTTTTTTTTTTTTTTTACCATCTGTCTCCAAACTGGGGTCACCCTGATTTGGGGACGCAAAATTAGGTAATGTCTGACCTTTGGGCGTAGCCTGGACCATATCCTTTTCAGACCAGTTACCTGAGGCCTCAAGGAAGAACTCAACTCCAAGCACCAGGTCACAACCACCTAGTGTTGGAAGGGGACCACCACACTTGTCTGGGAACGTCTCCTTGGCTGTGGTGTCTGCCCCAGACAGGGAAAGTAAGCAGTGGGATTCAATAATGTATCAAGCAGCAGCCAGGACCTTCCTGCTCTGACTGTTCTTGGCCCCTCTAGCAGTCCTCAGATCTTCAGATCAGCCCTCCCAGGGTCAGCAGAACAGGGAGCTGTGAAGGTAAGGGGCATGGAGGAATCTGTCACCTGGCTGAAGGGCCCTCGTTTTAACTACTGTGCCCCCAATGATCTCCTAGGAGCTTTGCCTGACAAGGGGGATCTAATGCACGACCCAGCAATGGACGAGGAGCTGGAACGGCTGTAAGTGTCAAGTGGGAGGATGCTGCCCCCTTGTGGGGGCCAGACGGGTTGAACACGGCTGCGCCCCATCTGGGGCCAACACCACTTGTCTATAACATCCTGCATCTGCCAGGGAAGGGTCTGGGGGCCAGCAGAGGCCTGAGATGTCCCTCCCTCTGAGTCCTTTGGGGGCTGCAGCCCAGGGGTTTACCCTAGTGTAAGAGTGGGCATGGAGGCCCCGCTCTCTGGACAGCAGGCCTCTCGCTGCCCTCCAGGCTTCTTCTTCTTCAGGCTGGCCCAGGTCCCAGGCCTGGTCAACTCGATCACAGCCAGTCCAGAGGCCAGTTGCCTGCCTTCCCGGACCCCTCCCCGGGTTGGCTCCCCCTGGAGACCTCTCCATCATTCCCGAAAAGTGGATGGAGAGAGCGATGGCTCCACTGAAGAGACAGATGAATCGGAGACTTGAGGAGTCCGAAGGGTCCAGCCCACAGCGCCCTATACCTGCTCCCACCCAGCCCTTGGCGTGCCCACCCAGCCTCCTCTCCAGCACCTTGTTGTGCTGCCCTCTGCTGCTGACAAGGCGAATAACAGCCCCAAGAGCGGCCAGAGGGGCGCTGATGATCAGCCCAGCCAGTGGCCCCGGAAGGGAATGGCCTGCTCTCCCTGGTCCTCTCAGCCTGCGAACTTCACTCAGGCCCCAAGCTGACAGCCTGTGCTGAAGCCACCGTATCACTAGGAAGGGGACTTGGCCGTAGCCTGTTAGTCCTCCTAACCTCTTAAGAAGAGCAGTCTCTTCTGAACCAGTCTCTGCTGGTCCCCTGATAAGGTTCATCTCCTCACAGCAATTCCATTAAGGGGGAGAACCCGAATAGCCACGCAGGGCCTTGCACCATCAAGGGTGACACCTGCGACACAAGTACCAGGAGGACATAACCGCTGTGGCCTTCTGTTGGAGAACAGCCAGTAGCCTTGGTAGGATGGAGAAGGGTGGGCCAGAAGATGATTTCACTTGCAAAAACTGCTTCAAGTCTTGACCCCTTTGTGTCTAATAGCTAAACATGTGAAACAAATAAAGTCCCTCATGTCTGGTAAGTGGTGAGTCTAAAGCTCCTAGGCTGAGGGGAGAAGGGAGAGGGTGAGTTTGGGTTTGTGGTGCTTTTCTGGCAGGACTAGGAGGTAGGGGCCAGTGGCCCACTCAGGCCTGGGGACCTGCCTCAGACAATGAGCAGAGGGGCCTAGCTTCGCACAAGAGCAGCCTTCCAGAGGAAAAGGTGCTCACAGCTGGAACGGCCTTCAGGAAATAGGTTCAGAGGGTTCAAGGCCAGGTTCCCATAACTTTAAAGACCATGGCCACAAAGGGTTAATACCGCACAGCCTTCGAGCCAGGGTTTCAGTCAACATTTGCCAAGCACCTGCTTGGGGTTAGGGCAGTGGGATGCAGCTATGAAAGACACAGCCTGGGGCAGACACACCCCATCCAAGACTGGAGGCAGGTAAGGACGAGTGGTCTTCAACCTCTTTGGATTGAGGGCTGCGGAGGCGGGGTCCCCCAGAGGGCAGAACCCACCCAGAGGCCCAAGCATAACAGGGCTGCCTCCTCTGAAGGCGGATGTCACCACTACTAGGCACACACATTTCCTTGGGCTCATCACTACCCAGAACGGATAATTACAGGAACTGCCTCCCAAACCCCTGCCAAGACTGGGCATTCCAACCCAGAAGCAGCTCCAGGATGCGGCAGCTCATTGCCTGTAATCCCAGCACTTTGGGAGGCCAAAGTTGGCTGACTGCTTGAGCCCAGGAGTTCAAGACCACCCTGGGAAACATCGTGGGACCCTATCTCTACAAAATAAACTTAGCCAGGCATGGTAGCTTGCACCTGCAGTCCCAGCTACTTGGGAGACTGAGGTGGATCATTTGAGCTCAGGAGGTTGAGGCTGCAGTGAGCCATGATCGTGCCACTGCACTCCAGTGACAGAATGAGACCGTCTTAAAAAAAAAAATGCTCAGACCACGTGATGAGCTCTCTAGGCCCACAATGATCCACAGCCCATGAGAGACATGGTTCTCAAATCCTGGTGTCCTCAGAATCACAGGGAAGCCTACTGACAATGCAAATTACCAAGCTCCAGAGAGTCTAACTCTACCAGCTTGGGATGGAGTCCAGAAATTTCAGATGATCCCAAAGCTGAATGAGTCCCGAACCTACACTCTGCAAATCCATGGCTTAGAGCCCCCTGGCTCCCTCTGCCCATCCTTTCTAATCATCCACTTCACAGACCACTGGTCTGTAACTACCGTGAGGGCTCCTAAGGTGGCACAGAGATGTTTCAGAAGCCCCCAAGAGAAAGGGGTGGCCAAGTCAAGGGTTTACATACAAACACATCTTTTCTTTCGGAATTTAAAGGGTCCCATTAACATCTAAGAGTATGTGTGTGTATGTATATATATGCGTATATATAATTTTTTTTTTTTTTTTTTTTTTGAGACAAGAGTCTCACTCTGTCTCCCAGGCTGGAGTGCAGTGGCGCGACCTAGTCTCACTGCAACCTCTACCTCCCTGGGTTCAAGCGACTCTCATGCTTCAGCCTCCTGAGTAGCCAGGATTACAGGCATGCACCACCACCCCCGGCTAATTTTTGTATTTTTAGTAGAAATGGGGTCTCACCATTTTGGCCAGGCTGGTTTCAAACTCCTGGCCTCAAATGATCCACCCGCCTCAGCCTCCCAAAGTGCTGGGATGACAGGCATGAGCCACCATGCCTGGCCTTAAATATTTCTTAAGCTCCACTGAAACCCATCCCCTGTCAAGCCTACTGCTGTGACAAGGGGCAGGACTGCTGAGGTTGCTCACTCACCCTCAGCCAGCGAGTTAAAGGGTCAACTAATGCCAGCTCTTTCCTCTGCGTGCCACAGGGTGGTGAGGTCGAAGCTGCAGCGGACCTCACGGCAGCACAGAGCCAAGGAGCCAGGGGCCTTTGGCTTTCAGAGAAGAGAGAAGCAGGAGGCCCTGGAGAGAGTGTCCTCAGCTTCGGTACCGACGCCCTACCATTACCGGTGGGAGCCCCGAGAGTGAGGCCAGGGTCCGGCACTGGGCAGGGAGGCAGGATCCAGAGGACACTGCTTCACTCAGACCAACAGGGAGCAAGGCCCTGCGGGGGCTTTATTTTGACACCACTTTGTTTCAATATAAACAGTCCAGAAAGAAAGTCATGTCCCTCTGGGGGAGGGGCAAGGGGAAGAGTGGTCTGTGTTGCTTGGGAGCCCAACCTACAACCCAAAGGTAGGGGCTGGGCTGAGACTGCCGGTGCGGCGGGGAAGATGGCACCAAGAATGACACAGTGCTTGGCTCAGATGCCAGAGGGTGAGGCCCGCAGCTCTCACTGGCGGGTGCTGTCCAGGCCCCCCAAGCCCAGAATGATGCAGAGGAAGGAGCTCAGCCCCAAGAGCTTGCCTCTGCCCCTCACATCCTCTGCTTCCCTGGCCAGCATCAAGCTCACAGCCTCCAGAGTCAAATCACAGCAGACAAGACCCTCCATGGCCACCAACCAGGGGATGAAGGGACAGAGAATGTTGCAGAAGGTCCTGTGGTCCACAGCAGATGGTACAGAGGGACCCTGAGACAATCTTCCAAGTGCTTACTGTACAAAGGGGTGGTGAGACGGGAGAACCCGTGGGTCTCCAGTCTGATCCCAAATGAAACCTTTAGGTACCAGGTAGTTTCCTGTCCTTGGTAATGCCCAAAAGGGCCTTTCCCTCCTTCGCCCTCTCCTGGCACCCAGAAGAGGCCACTGGCAGCAGCAGCAGCAAGTCCGCAGCCTCTTTCCCCAGGGGATGGGTCTACAGTGAACTCCTTCCAGGCCTCCCCATGGTTCCAGAGGATGGAGACCCAAGCCCTTGAACCAGAAGAACCCTAGAGCCAGCAAAAAAGCCTTCTACCTTCCACTTTCCCTACTTGAGGAAAGGCTGGACCCAGAATAAGCCATCCTGGGGGAACCCCCTCTCCCAGTGTGGCAGGACAAGTGAGCAGCAGCTGTGGGGGCAGGACAGAAGGACAAGAGTCTAACACACGGAGGGTGGTGTGAGAGGGAATAAAGGGCTCAGTCCACAGGCAGAGGACAAAGGCTGGTACTGACCATTCCCCTCACATGAGTGAGCGTCTCGAAGACCACTCCACACACACACCACACATACAAAGTAACAAATCCTCCCCAGCTTCCACAAGGCAAAGCATCCCCAGCCTGGGAACTGTGGAGTTCTTGTTGCAGTTACCACCGTAAGCCTGAGTCACAGAGCTTGGATCAGTAGGAACCGTAGCGATCCTGGGGGCGAGGGAGGAGAAAAAAAACAAAGTCAGAGGCTCTCTAAGCTTCAGCAACTTCCCAGCAAACACACTGCCTGCCCCAGCACCCCATAGCAAGACTTGGGAGGCAGGGGCTGGACAGCCTGGGGAGGCAGGAGTCCACGGTGAGAGCTGGGGCAGGGGCCACTCGGGCACCCAACAATGGGGAAGCCCTGCCTGGCCTCGCAGAAGCTAGGAAAAGAAGAGAAAGACCGGTACAGGTGACAAGGCCAGGGAAGATCATGGCAGATACAGTGGCATCTCGGAGAGGCCCAGCCCTGGTATGGAGCTGAAAGGAAGGAAGCTGCCCTCCAAGAAAAGAAAATGCCTCTCTCTAGACTCTTGCTTTTGTGTGTGTGTGTGGTTTTTTTTTTTTTGAGACACAGTTTCACTCTTGTCACCCAGGCTGGAGTGCAGTGGCGTGATCTCGGCTCACTACAACCTCCAGGTTGAAGCGATTCTCCTGCCTCAGCCTCCCGAGTAGCTGGGATTACAGGTGTACGCCACCATGCCCAGCTAATTTTGTATTTTTAGTAGACACAGGGTTTTGCCATGTTGGTCAGGCTGGTCTCAAACTCCTGACCTCAAGTGATCCCATCTCAGCCTCCCAGTGCTGGGATTACAGGTGTGAGCAACTGCACCCAGCCAAAAATGCTCTTAAGGCTCAGAGGAGCTAGGCAGTAGCAGTGTCTCTATGTGGTGGCAAAGGGCAAACCTCCCAGCACTCCTCACTAGGCCCCACTTCAGCCTCACCTGCAAGGAATTCATCACACCATTGGCCAGCACAGCCATTTTCCCGGCCACAGACTTGACACCTTGCTTAAACTGGGCAATGTCCGCTGTAGGCAGCACGTTCCCCAGAGATACACTTCCTGTAAAAGCAAGGGCAGGGTGACCCACAGCCCAGCAGGAAGCCCTTCCCAGTCACAGCAGGGCCCTCCCGCCCTGCTCCCAGGCCTCGCTTAGTGCCTGCCACCCCACCAGGGCCCTACCTGCTCCGTGAGCTCCATCCACGTCCCCAAAGAGGTCTGAAGAGCTGATGGCATTGCTGCCTGAGAGCTGCTGCAGCCGAGACCTGGCCTCATACTGTGGTGAGGAAAAGGCCAGGCCTGGGGATCCTGGGGCCGAGGACCCAAGGACTCACACAGGCCAGGCCCTCCTGGTGCTAAAGCCCAAAGCAGCGGCAGGGAGAAAGCTCATGCTTCTGCCTGCTGCCTCAGACCTCAAGACAGACAGCCCCACTTACCTCCGCATCCATCTCCCGCCCAAAGAACATGTCAGATGAGATGGCTTTGGCTCCTGCGAATTTCTGACGTGCCTCACTAGACTCGAGGCCTGAGCTCCGGCTCTCCGCTTCCCTCCGGTTTGTGGCCCTGAGGGGAAGATGTGGAACAGCTCAGACTCCTCCTGTTATCATCAGGGGAGGCAGAGTACAGAGACCAAACAGAGCACCAATGGCCTTTTGGTGATGGGTTACCAGGTCCCATTCTGTCTGTGGCTCTGTGACTCTGGGCCCCTCTCCCCTGGTTAAGGAGTCACCCTTCTCCACACTGAGGCCAAGGCCCAGAGAGCTTAGTAACCTGCACTAGGCAGGGTGGAAATACGGTCTGCAGTGGCCTAGGCTCCTGCCCAAAAGCACACAGCTTTGTCAGCGTTCAGGAGGCCACACAACTGCTGCTACCCTAATCCTAGTGACAACATGCCTAGTACTACAATGAGCATATGTGTCAGTCTGCCTCACTTTATACCTACTCTTGTCGTAACCATGAATAGCAAACTGCCCCCTTTACTCTCAAAAGCATCCTGGTGTGGAAAGGGAGATGGCTGCGCTCATCTTGCCATGAGTATGTGGACACTGGGCCAGGTATTTCGGGAGACCCTGTGAAGTAGTTACGTTCCCGTTTAATCAGGGGATAACTCACAGATATTATGTCAACTAAACAGATCCCAGATTAAGATGGAGTAGGGTTTTTAAAATAAGGGGGCTGGAGACATAAAACCCTTGAAAGGAGGTCAGGACTGAAGCATAAAATCAGGCCCCTCCTGCCAGAGAAATGGACCCCAAGCAAAAGCAGCTGCCAGGCCCTCTGTGATGACAAAGCACAACTCAAACCGAAGCCTGACTGCTGCACTGTCTAATGAGGCAGTGCCAGCCACTGGTGGCTATTTACATTTATCAAAAATTAAACTACATGGCCGGGCGCGGTGGCTCAAGCCTGTAATCCCAGCACTTTGGGAGGCCGAGACGGGCGGATCACGAGGTCAGGAGATCGAGACTATCCTGGCTAACACGGTGAAACCCCGTCTCTATTAAGAAATACAAAAAACTAGCCGGGCGAGGTGGCGGGCGCTTGTAGTCCCAGCTACTCGGGAGACTGAGGCCGGAGAATGGCGTGAACCCGGGAGGCGGAGCTTGCAGTGAGCTGAGATCCGGCCACTGCACTCCAGCCTGGGCGACAGAGCGAGACTCCGTCTCAAAAAAAAAAAAAAATTAAACTACATAAGAAATTCAGTTGCTCAGTTGCACCAACCACATTTTAAGGGCTCATAGCCACATAGTAGTGGCTACCATATTAAACAACATAGAGAACATTTCCATCATCACAGAAAGTTCTAGACAGTGCTGCCTTAGACTTCTCTACCTTCAGCTTGTTTAAAAAAAAAAAAAAAAGAAAGAACAGCCCACTCTACCTTTCTGAAATAGGCCGGATGCTTGAGATGGTCACTTCTGGCTCCTTCTCCTCTACCCTGTCCATACCCCAGGCAGCATCTGTATCCCAGCGGGAACCAAAGCTTTCCCCTAAGGAAAAGGGGTTGTCCTTGTACCTAAGGAGACAGTAGAGTGGCTCAGAGAAGCCTGATGAGGAACACAGCAGTCAAGTTTACAGCTAGAAAACAGCCTTACTTTGGGGGTCCAGAGGCGAAAGTACCAACATCGTCAAACAAGTCCAGCTGAGAGCGAGAAGATTTTGCACTCACTGGGGTTTCCTGCTCGATCACCTGCATCTCAGACAGCACGGAGTGGGAGACAGAGCTGCGCAGCAAAGCAGAGCCAGGCCATGAGACCAGTGAATAGACATTAGCATCACTGCACAAAAGACAATAACCAGCGGCTGGGTTCGCCTTCATGGAGCATCACCCAGAACCTTCTGTCCTTACCCAAGCACAGGGCTAGGCCAGACCCTAAAAGAAGGCTAGCTGTGTGTGGTGACCTGTGAAGCAAACCTCAGAATTCTTTACACATCAGCTTTGTTTATTCAACGTAGGCGTTCCCTGGCCAGTGACCGTCTGCCTGTTATAATTTTATTTTATTCATTTATTTATTTGAGACAGATTCTCACTCTGTCACCCAGGCTGGAGTCCAGTGGTGCAATCTCGGCTCACTGCAACCACCGCCTCCTGGGTTCAAGCGATTCTCGTGCCTCAGCCTCCCGAGTACCTGGGACTATGCTGCACATCACCACGCCCAGCTTATTTTTTGTTTTTTCAGTAGAGACAGGGTTTCGCCACATTGCCCAGGCTGGTCTCAAACTCCTGAGTTCAGACAATCCACCCACCTTGGCCTCCCAAAGTGCTAAGATTAGAGGCGTGAGCCACCGCGCCCGGCTCCTGTTGTAATCTTTTATTTATTTACTTATTTATTTTGAGACGGAGTCTCACTTTGTTGCCCAGGCTAAAGTGCAGTGGCGCGATCTCGGCTTACTGCAAGCTCCGCCTCCCGGGTTCACGCCATTCTCCTGCCTCAGCCTCCCAAGTAGCTGGGACTACAGGCGCCCGCCACCACGCCCAGCTAATTTCTTTTGTATTTCTAGTAGAGATAGGGTTTCACCGTGTTAGCCAGGATGGTCTCGATCTCCTGACCTTGTGATCCGCCCACCTCAGCCTCCCAAAGTGTTGGGATTACAGGCGTGAGCCACCTCACCCAGCCTCCTGTTGTAATTTTAATAATGTGCACCAGATGCCAGTGGTCTCTGTCCTGGATAACTCCCTGCCTTGTGCACTATGAACCCCATCCTTCGCTGATGGGGTTCACACAGCAAAGGAATGGATGAAAGAACGCCTCAGAACCAGGGAAAGGAGCATGACTGCATCCAAGGATGAGTTCTTCATCATCCTACTGTTTATTAAAAAAAAAAAAAAAAAAGGCCGAGCGGGTGGCTCACGTCTGTAATCCCAGCACTTTGGGAGGCTGAGGAGGGCAGATCACAAGGTCAGGAGATTGAGACCATCCTTGCTAACAAAGTGAAACCTGTCTCTACTAAAAATACAAAAAAATTAGCCGGGCATGGTGGTGGGCACCTGTAGTCCCACCTACTTGGGAGGAGAATGGTGTGAACCTGGGAGGCGGAGCTTGCAGTGAGCCCAGATGGCACCACTGCACTGGATCCAGCCTGGGCGACAGAGCAAGACTACGTCTCAAAAAAAAAAAAGCACCTCAAAGCACAAAGACTGGCCTTATGCACTAAGACCTAGAATTGCTGTCTGGTTCTCAAAAAAAAAGGGGTGTAGGGTTGGCAGGCAATACAGTACAATTCTTGATGCCTCTCATTCCTCTGTCAGGCTCCACAGGGACACTTTAAGGATTAATTTGATTTAAACCAATTCATTTAAAAATATCCATAGCTTTTAGCTAGAAGAACCCCAAGGAGTGATTATTTTGCAATAGGGCTGAGTTGGGCCAGGCGTGGTGGCTCACACCTGTAATCCCAGCACTTTGGGAGGCCAAGGCAGCCAGATCACCTGAGGTCGGGAGTTCAAGACAAGCCTGACCAACATGGAGAAACCTACTAAATCTACTAAAAATACAAAATTAGCTGGGTGTGGTGGCACATCCCTGTAATCCCAGCTACTTGGGAGGCTGAGGTAAGAGAATCGCTAGAACCCAGGAGATGGAGGCTGTGGTGAGCCGAGATCACACCATTACACTCCAGCCTGGGCAACAAGATTGAAACTCTGTCTCAAATAAATAAATAGGGTGAGTTGGGTTTAAGTAAACAATTGTTGCACTGCTGAAAAATTGTTCATATCCCTTAACCCCTCGGTCATCCCTTAACCCAGTCAGTCATCCTTTAACCCCTTGGTCATCCTTTAACCCAGTCATCCCTTAACCCAGTCAGTCATCCCTTAACCCCTTAGTCATCCCTTAACTCAGTCAGTCATCCTTTAACCCCTCAGTCATCCCTTAACCCAGTCATCTGTTATTCCAGTCATTCCTATGTGACTGAAGCAGGGAAAGGAAGGAGTTTCAATGTCCTTTCAAGTTAAAATTTTATCCTCTGGCCGGATGTGGCTCACATCTGTAATCCAAGCACTGGGTGCCGCGGCTCACGCCTATAATCCCAATACTGTGGGAGGCCAAGGCGGGCAGATCATTTGAAGCTAGTAGTTTTAGACCAGCCTGGCCAACATGGTGAAACCCCGTCTCTACTAAAATACAAAAATAAGCTGGGTGTGGTGGCACATGCCTGTAATCACAGCTTCTCAGGAGGCTGAGGCGGGAGAATCGCTTGAACCTGGGAGGTGGAGGCTGCAGTGGGCTGAGATCACACCACTGAACTCCAGTCTGGATGACAGAGTGAGATTCCATCTTTTAAAAAAAAAAAAAAAAAAAAAAAAAAAGCCAGGAACGGTGGTGCACGCCTGTAATCCCAGCTGCTTGGGAGGCTGAGACAGGAGAATCACTTGAACCCAGGAGGTAGAGACTGCAGTGAGCCAAGATCGTGCCACTGCACTCCAGCCTGGGCAAAAGATTAAGACTTTGTCTCAAAAAATAAAAATAAAAAACCATAGCAGCCAAACATGGTGGCTCACACCTGTAATCCCAGCACTTTGGGAAGCCAAGGCAGGCAGATCACCTAAACCCAGGAATTTGAGACCAGCCTAGGCAACATGGCAAAACCTACAAAAAATACAAAAATTAGCTGGGCATGGTGGCTCCCGGCTGTGGACCCAGCTATTCAGGAGGCTGAAGTGGAAGGATCGCCTGAGCCCAGGAGGCAGAGGTTGCAGTGAGCCGAGATCACACCATTACACTCCAGCCTGGGCAACAGAGCAAGAATTTGTCTCAAAAGAAAAAGAAAGAAAGAAAACCACAGCAAACCCAGTGGTTCTGAAACAGGATTTTCTGCTCAAACTGAGGGCATTTGAAATGTGGGTGGATACTTTAGGGTATTACAGGGAACACAAATGGCATCTCTAGACAGGGATTAAGGAATTAAGGATGATACTAAATGCACCTCAATTCTCAGAGAGGTCTGGAAAAATAAACTGTCCCATGACTCAAAGTGCCATCAAGAAAAAGCACCCTGGTCTCTTGAAGATACTGAAACAACACCTGATCCTTTCATTCATACACCTATTCACTCATTCAACTTACTGAGCACATACCCACTATGCCAAGCACTGTATTAGGGACAAGCCAAGCAATCTATTCAGACTTGGAGAAACAATAAGCCTAGAATCCCAAACTGCTGGGAAGGCCCTGCAATGGTTCCCAGGAAACAACGGCATCTCCCTGCCACACCGGGAGCTGAGCCTCACCTTCGGGATACCAAGCCCATGCCCAACCTCTCTGCCTGCTCTCGCTTCTTCCCTTCCAGATTCTGTAGCTTCTTCTCCTCTTTCTTACGATCAATCTGGAGCTCCTGGTAGGCCAGACGCATGGAGGCGACCCTTAGAGGGAACAAAGGTGTCAGTGGCCACCCATCCTGACCTGTCTGACCTACCCACCCACCAAGCCCTGCACGAGCCTGAGGCCCCGGCAGCAAACACTCACATGGACTCCTCCGCCTGCTTCTTGGCATCGGCTGCCTGCTGCTCACGGAGCTTCTCTGCTACCTGGGCCTGCCGCTCAATCTCACTGAAGCTCTGGCTGCTCACCTTCTGGGCCCCGAGGCCTTTCTTGGCACCCAGCTGGGAAGAGAATCATGTCAGGGGCCTTCCCAATCACACTCTCCTCAGACCCCTCCCAGGCTCGGGCACTGTAGTCACACCCACAAGGAAAAGGCCCTTCTTAAAATTTAGGGTAAAAAATAGGAGCCCAACCAGCATGGCCAAGAGAACAGTGCTCCGCTGGAACAGGGCACGGGCAGCTCACACAGCCCCGGCAGAGCCCAGACCTGAGGATGCCAGTTAATGCTGACAGGGCCGAGTATGTGCCAAGCACTCCGCCAAGCACTAGATGCGCTCCATCTCACCGACCCCTCCCAGGAGCCCTTGAAGATAGGCTTTAAATCCCTTTAAATCTTTAAATCCCTTTCACAGGCGAGGTTCAGAGAAGCACAGTACCTTTGCCAAAGTCATACAGCTGGTGAGTGGTAAGGTCAAGAGGTGAACCCAGGTAGCCTGCACCCAGCTCCTAACCTTTCTAACATACCACCTCTCCCCACCTACCCCTTTCTTAGCTGCTGCTGGCTTCTTCTTGCCAATGATGGAGCTTTTCAGTTCTGCATGAGAAAGGGGGTAGGCACAAGCTAAGACAAAGGCAGCTCAGAGGCAGTAGCTCCGTCCACACAATGCAGCTTCATGGCAATAGCTCCTAAGAACAGCTTCAGGCAGGGGAAGGCAAAGCTGCCAGCACCAGCTCCAAACAGCGGTGTCCAAGCCAAAGACAGACGTGGCTGGGGTATTTACTGGCGCCCAGCAGAGTGAGACAGGAACCTAGACCTGAAGCACCAGAGACACTCAAAGTCCCTGAACCAAAACAAAGACTGCGAGGCAGGGAGCAGATGGTGAGCACCAGGCTCAGCTCCTAAAGCAGGAAGCTGCGGGCAGGGCCTGGGCTCCCCAAGCAGCTGTCAGTTACCTCTGGCAGGAAGGGCCCCTTTAGCTGACAGATACATGGACTCTGGAGGAGAAACAGACTTGTGGCTAACAAGAGGCCCACCCCAGAGCCTCCATAGAGCTCTCAAGCCCAGCGGTCTCTATGAAGCCCTGCTTCAGACCAAGCTATGCCAGCCTTCTCATGGATCAGTCTGACAGTCACTCTACTGGGTTCCAGTCCCAACCCCCAAGAGTCAACAGAACAAACCGAGGTCAGCAAATTGACTGTTCACCCTGAACCAAGTCTGAAGGACACTAAGGAAAATGTAGAAAAGAGTTAAAGGACAGGCTGGTGGACTGGCTGAGAAAGAACAATGTCATCTCCAGCTATCGGCAGCTCAGAGCTGTCCCTCCACCCTAGGAAATGCACCGGACAAGCCAGTCCTGCCTCAGAGCCCAGGAATAGGTGTCCAGTCTCATGCTGGCCTCCCCAACACTTTGGCTAGACCCAGCCCCACACTCAGAGGCAGACCCCAGGCCTTATACACCAGCCCACCCAGATTCATCAATTCAAAGGGCTTGGCTCTAAAATCAGTGTTGCAGCCACCATTTCAATCACAGTCCCCACTCCAGAGAGGTCAGACACATGCTCAGTCTCCTGTGGCCTCTGTCCACACAGCCAGGCAGCAGGAACTCTGAAAAGAACATTTGAGGTCCACCCTCTCCCAGCCACCCCACGCCTGCCCACTAGCATACTGACCCAGTGAGGCTTTGGGTGAGGTGCCAAGCAGGTCTGTGTTGGGACCATGCTCCGGCTCTGTGGATGCAATGGTAAGAGTTAGAGATGAGGCTCCTAGCTTCCTGCAACCTCCCCTTGAAAGAAGTGATGGGACGTGAGTCAGTGGCTTTCCTCAGCTTGCCACTGAAAGATAAAAGGAATATCTACCACTTCCTCTAAGGATTAAAATGAATCCCAGCCCACGCAAAGATACAGGAGGATCCCTGCTCCTATTGTCATAGCCAGATGTCCCCTTCCAAACCCTGAGTCCTCTCCTAGGACCAGGGCACCTGGTTGGAATCTGGGCTGAACTCACGTGCCAGGCCACTGCTCTCTGCAGACGGGGCTGGCTGTTGGGTCCCTGAAGGCTCAGTGGCTGGCGCATCCCAGGCAGGAGGCTGAAAAGGAGGCCAGGTAACAGAAGCCTCAGTGAGCCGCTCCTGCAGCCAAGGAGCACCAAGACCTACAAGCACCTTGTGGGCAAGAGATCGTACTTCAAGCCCATGAGGAAAGGGAGTGGATGGGAGCAAACACGATCACAGTTGCTACTCACAGTGGAAGAAAGCAGGAAAACAAGCAGCCCCCACCCCAACCCCTTCACTATTTACTTAAAGCAAGAGCCCATTCTCCTAAGTTAAAGACAGTTACCTAACACCACCTAGGCAGGCACAGATCTAAAGGTTCCTCAAATACAAATACATTTAATTATCACTACAACCCCTATGAAGGAGCTATATCTCCATTTTAGAAACTGAGGTTTTGACAGGTCGAGTGACTTGGCCACCATCACAGAAATGCTGAGTAGAGAACAGGAATTGAAGCCAAGAGTCTAACTTCAGCACCCAGGGTCAGTAAAGAGGAAACCCTCCTCCAAGGGGTGGGGTGGGGAGGAGGGAATCCTTTCACTGTCCCCAAGCACAGTGCCTTTCTTATAAGGGAAGAATCCAGGAAAACTTGTTTGGGGCCCTAGACACCTCTTGAACCTTCAAGAAGCTGCTCCTGTTCCCCACCAGCCCAGTTTATAGGAGTCTATTTCTAAGGAGGTCTACACTGCACCCCCATTTATGGAGGAGGAAACACCCAGGCCTACCCAGCAGGAACAGCGGACTCCATACATTCCAACTCAGTGGACTTCACACATGTGTCCGACACATCACATCAAAGCAAATGGAATCTATAGCCATGATCACAGAAGGCCTTGGCCTTGGTAAACTGCTTGTCAAGAACAATTGGGAAAAACGTTCCTTGTGGGCACTCACTTGAGTGTGTTCTGTGAAGAAATCAGAGTCCTTCTTCTCCGGGGAGTGATTAGGGACGGCACTACTTATGTTGTCTATCCAAAGCTAGAAAGGAGAAGGCACCCCTGAAACACAGGGCTCTGAATACTCCTAACCCTCCCACCCCAGCCCCAAGAACAGGCACTTACATCAGTGCCGTGCCTAGCCAGGGCCGCACTCCCCAGCTGCCGGATCTTCTCCCGGTACATCTGGGCAGCTCGGCTATTGTATTTGGTGTTGGCATCATTGGCTGTGCATCCATGTTGGCGGAAAAAAGCCGTCTGGAGAGCAAAGAAGAGAGCAGCGCGTGCTACAGGTGATTCTCAAGAAGGAAATGTGTTGGCTGTAGGAGGCATCCCCTTATGACAGTCGAGTTATTATCTATACAGGATGATACATGCTACTGACACTGGTTTTTCAGAGATACAGTTCCTCGAAATTCCTGCAAAAAAACACCTTGCAGCCTGCCATCCTCTGATATGACTGAAGCCCAGGCCTCACTGAACCCTGCCTGAGGACAACATGCCATTCCCAGCCTCCCCATCCTTCATCCAGGGCAGACCCACAAGACTCAATGACTGTGAAGGCTCCAACTCCTGAGGCTTTTCCCCAAGAACACCTGCCCAGTTTAATTGGAATTTGAAACCCATTTAAGAGAAGCTGTGACCAGTTTCGAAGTTTTTAGAAAATGGCTTATGGTGGTGTTATAGAACAGAGAACCCTCTGAACAGGGAAACCGACAGGGTCTCTTAGGGAGTCGTGCAAAGTTAGTACCCAGGCAGAAGAATGGAAGGTGGGGGAGGTAGAAGGAGCTTTACCGCATTGGCATTCCCGCCGACCTGCATACACCTCAGCTGGAACCAGTTCCAGTTGGAATCCAACTCTGTGGACCTGTGTACAAGGGCTGCGTCTCACCCACCAGCAGATACCAGCAGCAGGGTTTCCCTGGCGGCCCGATACCTGTCACTTGGTCTCAGGCTGCTGTAGGCACCCAGGAAACATTAATCAGCCATCACCCCATTTCCTCCACACTACCCTGTCCATGAAAACTTTGCTCTTCATTCATCTACTCCAAAGAGTACTAATTATGTCCCCAGATCCGAAAGGAGGTCCCGTTCTCAGGCACGCACCCCTGGATTTGGCTTTCCCCTAATGGATGGTCACAGTTTCACTAGAGACATATTGGGCCAACAACATATCAGCAACAAGGTCAATGCCTCCCTTTCCTCCCAACCAACGCTCAGAGTCTCAAGTCTGACCGTCAAAAAACAGCGAGTTTTGGCCCAGAAGCGGAGACGGACCGCCTATGTGCCAAGGAGCCCACACAGGTGGTTCCCTCCAGCAGGAGGCTACCGGACCCTCTCGGCCCAGAGGCTTCCCGCTGAATTCAAAGCGGTCCAAGTCGAGGCAGCCACTCTCCCTTGTTGCCCACACAGCCCTGGCCGGCCCGGTGGAAACACGGCAACCGCGCGGAAACCCAACCTGATGAAGCTCAGATGGACGCCCAGGGAGCGGTGCACCCCGGAACAGTCAATGCACAAGAAAACACCATACGTGATGCTGGCCCAACTCGGATTCTTGGCGCCGCAGTCGAAACAGGCCTGGGTGGAGGAAGCGATGAGCGAATGATCAGGGACCCCGAGTAAAGGCCAGGCGCAGACACCCCAGAAAAACAACCCACCTCCGCCCTTCTCCCTCCCTCAGGCCCCAGCGGGACGACAGACTCCGCGCTACCCCTGCTCACGCACCTTGTTGGTTGGAACTGCGCGAAGCCTCTTAAAAAGGGTCTGGATTTCGGTCTTGTTCGGCTCCGCCGCCATTTTCTCTCCTTCCCAGACACAACCGCGACAGACGGGTCCCGCCGCGGGCCAATCCACGGCGGGGAGGGCGGGCTCACCAGGTCGGCCTCAGCTGTGCCCGGGCCAGTCGAGGGGTGGGGTGATTGGGGCCCGATCTGGACCAATGGGCAGCCGGCAGGACGGGGGCGCTGACGTCAGCCGCGGCCGCAAGAATCAACGCCGCGCCGGGCCAATCCGCAGCCGGGACGGAGCGACGGCGGGCGAACCGGCCCAAACCTCCTCGCGCGCACAGCCCCTGACGCCTCAGTCCCCAGGTGGAGTCGCCCCTACGCCGCGCAGGTTGCGGGAGCTTGGGGGCGGGGACCCCCACTCCAGCCAATTACAGATCGATGAGTAAGGATTAGGCTGCCCAAGTGCTCCTCTTCCCTCCAGCCTGAACGGACAGACGTACTGGCCGGCCTCTCGCCCAGCCTCCAGCCGTTCTCGGCTCACAGCAAGCCTGACAGCGAGTCCCCTCCACCCCAGATTAGGATCTCAAAGCTCCAGAGCAGGTACCAAGCAGGCAAACCCTTTTCCAACCCCGGCTCCATAACAGACGCTAGGCCTCTCTCTAGATGCCCTCTGGAGGCCTGGCAAGGGTGTCCTATCAAAAAAATGCACATGAGCCCGACAGTGGTTTTTTTGTTTTTGTTTTGTGTGTGTGTGTGTCAAGTTTTAATACACGCTAGAACAAGCCACAAAAGAGGGTGCTGCTAGGCCGGAACTACACTCACCCCAAGCCCACCTCAGGAACCCCAAAGCAGAGGTCAGGAACTGAGTTCACAGCTCCTGGGGAGGCCCAGGCACCGCTGAACCCTGTCACTTCTGACCTCCCATCTTGCCCTCAGCCTGGACTCATCCCTCCCTACCAGTTCCTTCCTAGACAAAGGCCCCTCCCCTCCCTGGGTCCCAGGACTTCCTCCCTCAAGGGACAGAGGAGCAGCAGGGGAGCGACGGTTCAGGGCCCTGAGGGTCTGGCTCTCCAGGAGAAGCTGGGCTCTCACCCAGGGTGGGTAAGCATCGCAGAAGGGCTGTCAGGACACTCAGGCGCCCACGCACTCCACGTAGTTGGCAGGGTACAGGCCAATGCGGCCACTCTGCAACTGGCCTTGGCACCAGCCCTGCTCGTCCTCCTCACTCATCTTCAGCAGCTCCTCCCCTGAGGGAAAGGGGATTGGTCACTGCTAGTGGCCCTGGCCCAGCCCATTCCTGCAACTGGGTCAAGGACTGAGGGGGATGGTGTGGTCCCAGAGCCCAGCTAGCAAAGACATGGCTCAGACAGAGGCAGGTCAAGGTCAGCAAGCTGCCCCACCCCAGACCCCGAATGCAGCCACCAGGCACCAGCTGTCTGGACCTGGAACAGCTGAAGGGCCAGAGGACTGGCCCTTAAGAAGTGGGTATTTGGCTTCCCTTTGTGACATCCCTGCTCAGGCGGGTAAAGCAGAGACCGACCGAAGCTAGGAAAGGGGTCCCAGGGTACCTGCTCGGAAGCTCAGCTCATCAGCTTCCTGGCCAGCATAGTCATAGAGTGCCCGCACCCGAACCCCGGTGGCAGCCTTCCGGGGACTCTCTTCATCTGACCACTCCTCATCCTGCCCCGTGCTGGAGAGGGCAGGCAAAGGGAGCAGCTCACTGTGCAAGGAACACGGGGCTGGAGATCTCACCCAGGATCAGGGCAAAGGCCTCCCTACCCCCAGAGGCACCTGGGAGAGGCAGGTGAGGTGCTGAAAGGTTCTAGCTCTATCTCGCCATGCGGGACTGTGAGCAGAGGCAATTCCTGCCACACGCAGCTGATTTAAGGCATAAACGAGAGGGAACGTGGGAAATGCCTGGCAAATCTAAACCACTGTGAGAACCGGTATCATTACAACTACTAAGTAGGCCCTCAGGTCCCCGGCACCAGTTTTCAACCCATTTCAGGTGTGAAGGGAATGAAACCAAGGAGAAAGGAGTGGAGGGTGGGAGGCAGAGCTGTTTCTTTGCCACAGCCACGCTCCTGGCTCTCACCCTGGGGACCCCGGGGACTGGGGTGGGGGTGCGGTGCCATCTCTTGTGGGCACGATGCTGGTCAAGGTAACCTCATCAGGGCTCCGGCCACCCTTCTCTTTCCGACTGATTGTCCTCTGTGTGTCCAAGGACCACTCCTGTGGGGACAGTGCTTACAGTCAGGTGGGGCCATCCGGACCACCTTCGCTTACTTCACCCCTAGCCCTGGCTGAGCTGAGTGGGAGCCCATCCCACCTCCCAGCCCCACCCCGCCTGGAACACATGCCTCAAACTGTGGCCAGTTCATGGCCATGCCTGGCCCGTGGGTGCTGCGCCACCAGCGCAGATCCTCTTCGTCACTGGCTGCCTCGATGCCCTGGTGCAAGTCGCGGTGGAGTTCGTGGAACCTATGGCCCAAGGCACACCCTCAGTCTAGGAAGTCTAGAACCTGCATCCCTCAGTCCCAGCCAGGGCCTAGGGGAGATGGAGGAGACCCAGTACTACCCCAGATCTCCACGCCCACTAGGCAGCCCATACTTCTCACTGCTGGAAAGGTCCAGGTGCTGGTGTAAGGTGAGCAGCATGTCCTTGAAGAAAAGAAGCCGCTGGCGCTCGGCGGCCTGGCAGGTCTCAAAGGCCTGCTCCATGTCTTCCATGTAGCGTGGAGTGTAGCGATGCAGCTCTGCCAGCGTCTGCTCATACTGAGCTTTTGTCTGGGTGGGAGAGGAGAGTTCTGGTGAGGACCAGACCTTCTTCCACCCAGGACTCCACCAGTGTTTACCAGACACTGCCATGGGCTGCTAGACCCGGGGTTAGCCACTAGGGGCTATCAGTCCTAAGACCCAACTCCTGCCCTCAAGAACCCCAGCAGCCTAACAAGGGAGGTGACATCAGGTGCAGCGGATAAAAGAGTGTAGTGAAGACTGAAATGAGGTCAACCTACAGGAAAGGATGGGAGAAATCAGAAAAGGCTTCCTGGAGGAGGTGGAAACTGCAGCATCTCAGGATGGTAAGGATTTGCATATGCAGAGCTGCAGGAAAGGACACCAGGCAGAGGGATACTGTGCAAGGAAAGAGCTGGAAGTTCTCAACTGCTGAAGTCATCCCAGTGCCTGAAACTCCATTTCTTTCCCTAGGTAAAGTATCACCTTTTGTCAGGTTCCTCCTTTAAATGATCATCTAGAGAGAGGGTGGCAGGTGAGGATTAGGGTAATAAGAGTGCTGGGGACTGGACAAGGTGTTCAAGGAGCAAGATTCATTCAGGAAGCCATGCCCTGGGCGGGAGCCAGGGCTGGTACCTGAGGCCCGTACCTTCTCGGCCTCCTTGGCACAGCGTTCCACCCGTTCCTGCAGTTTGCGCAGCTGCTCCTGGGAGACGGCACTGTCTGCCTTCGCATGGCTCTCCCTTGTCTGGGCTGTCTTCTCGTCCTTCCGGGCTGCATGGTAGCTTTTCTTGGAAGCCTCAACCTGGCATGTATGGGGACCACGCTGGACCCTGGATGCCACACCCTGGCCCCCTCGATCCCTTGCAGACCAGGAAGGAGCCTGCCTCGGATACCTCTCCCACCCAGCCTCACCTCCTTCAACCTCTTCAGCCAGGGCTTCTGGGCCTTGCGGAAGCCATCCTCAGCCGCCCGGCTCTCGCGGAAGCCACCCAGCACAGGCCGGTGGAAAGCCCCCCGCTGCCAGGCGCGCACCCGCTCACTGTCCTGCCCTTGCAGCTTCTCCCGAACCTCCAGGTGCAGGGCGCTCAGCCGCTCGGCCGCCGTGAAAAAGGCATGCCAGGCCTTCTCCAGTGTGCCATACTGGGGGCCTGCAGGGAAGGACAGGGCTTGGGCCAGTCCTGGGTACCACCCAAAATAAGCCCAGCCCCTCTCACTGGGTACGAGGCATGGAGGCATAGGGTGCAAAGGTGAATGACAACCCTGTCAGCTGGGCTTATTGAATGCAGACCGTGTGCCTTATCTCACTGAATCCTTGTCTCAGCCACCACCGTGAGGACAGTGACACTGCCAACATTGAACAGGCAAAACACTGAGGCCCAGAGAAGTGAACTCGCTCAAAGCATTATGGCTACAAGAGGAGCTGAGGGCCGGGTGCAGTGGCTCACACCTGTAATTCCAGCACTTTGGGAGGCCGAGGCAGGCGGATCACGAAGTCAGGAGATTGACAGCATCCTAGCTAACACGGTGAAGCCCCATCTCTACTAAAACTACAAAAAATTAGCCGGGCGTGGTGGCACGCGCCTGTAGTCCCAGCTACTTGGGAGGCTGAGGCAGGAAAATTACTTGAACCTGAAAGGGGGAGGTTGCAGTGAGCTGAGATCACGCCAGCCTGGGCGACAGAGCAAGACTCCATCTCAAAACAAAAACAAAAACAAAAACAAAAACAGAGGAGCTGAGATTCAAACCCATCTGTTGCATAAACACTACACTCCATTGCCTCAAAGGAAGAGCCTGTGTGTGCCCTCGAGGAAGACAGCTTGGTGCAGGGTGGAAGGATCCATGCTCCCAGTCAGAGGGCCTGGGCTCAACCTTCAGCACTTCCTAGCTGTGTGCCTTTAGGCAAGTCCCTTAGCCTCTCTGAACTTCCAGTTCCTCCTCTAGAAAATGCATAAAACAGGCCGGGTGCAGTGGCTCACACCTGTAATTCCAGCACTTTGGGAGGCCAAGGAGAGAGGATCACTGGAGCCCAGGGGTTCAAAACCAATCTGAGCAACATAGCAAAACCCCATCTCTACAAAAAATACAAAAATGAGCCAAGTGTGGTCCATGCCTGTGGTCCCAGCTATTCAGGAGGCTGAGGTGGGAGGATCGCTTGTGCCTGGGAGATGGAGGTTGCAGTGATCCATGATTGTACCACTGCACTCCAGCCTGGGTGACAGAGTGAGACCCTGTCTCAAAAAGAAATAAATAATTAAGAAAGGAAAGAAGGTCAGACGCAGTGGCTCACACCTGTAATCCCAGTACTCTGGGAGGCTGAGGTGGGTGGATCACCTGAGGTCAGGAGTTTGAGACCAGCCTGGCCAACATGGTAAAACCCCGTCTTTACTAAAAATACAAAAATAGCCAGGCATGGTGGCGGGTGCCTGTAATCCCAGCTACTTGGGAGGCTAAAGCAGGAGAACCACTTGAGAGGCGGAGGTTGCAGTGAGCCAGCATCGTGTCACTGCACTCCAGCCTGGGCAACAATAGCAAAACATCTCAAAAAAGAAAGGAAAGAAAATGGGTAAAACAGAACCATCTCTGCAGGGTTGTTGGAACTATCAAAGTAACTCATGAGCAGCCTTTGTAAACTCTTTAATACCAGAGCCGTGAGGATGACCAGGAGGATCTTCCTTTTCTAAGGGAGGGTAGACATGGAGGCCTCAAACTTCCCACAACACGTGCAAAAAAGAAGCTGGCCCGACAGTCCTGCACTCAGCTGCCCTCTGCCCCCTGCGAGGGCCTGGCTCACCCTTCTCCACGGTCCCCCTCCACTTTCGGGCCCAGTCGGCCAACTGCTGGGCATAGGCCTTTTCGATGCGGGCACGCTCCTGGAAGCAGCTGACCAGGTCCCCGCACAGCCGGTGCCCGTCCTCCACCCGCTGCACCGTGCGCCTGTAGTTGCCAGCCTGGGCATACAGGAGAAGGGCGCTGTCACCAGGGAAAAGCCTCCTTTTGGGCTGGGGCTGTCAGTTGGGCTCCTCCCCTAGACAAGGAGCTGAGCCCAGGACCCAGCTGCTCACCTCCCAGAAACTGCCCCCTAAGGCCTCCCCTCCAGCGTCCTCTTCTGGAGCCATGGTGTCCCCGCAGCACGGAATGGTGGCGGATTTGGGGCTGTGGAGGGCAGAGGGGTAAGTGGGAAAGCTGGACATACGTTTTTGGGGATAGGAAAAGACCCTCTGTATACCTGGGCCTCGCCCCACCACCTTCCCCACCACCCAAGGAGCCGTCAGAGCTAGGACTTAGCAGGCAGGGCGCTGAAGACCCTAAGAAGGGCCAGGATGGGTGAGGATGGAGTCTCAAAGCTCTTCCTCTCGCTGCTCTGCCCTTCCCCTCCTGCCCCCCACATACCTGGGGCCTAGAGATCACTTCAGGGACCTGGGTGTCCGACTTTCAATGCTGCCACCGTGACTCTGCCTTGAAGGAGAGCAGAGTGAGGGTGAGGGTGGGGACCTAGAGCGTCCAGGGCGGTGCCCAGCACCCCCGATATAGCAACTGCTGTCAGAAGCGCCAGATTCCAGGGAGGAGAATGCCAGACGGGTCACACGATCCAGCCAGGGATTAAATGGCAGGCGGGGGTGGGTGGTGGGCAGAGGGCCCCACTCCCCCAACTGCGGATGAGAGAGGAAGACTCCTGCCCAGGCCAGGGCCTCTGTTGCCTTCCCTTGAGTGACAAGATGACCCCATTACCCAAGAGGCCAAGTCAGAGGGTGCCTGGCCACATCCCAGTAGCTCCCTGTACTGAGGAGGGCACGAAGGGAGCCAAGAGGCCTGGCTTCTGTCTTGGCCAGGAAGCCTGAACAAGTATGTGTAACTGTCTCCTCCTAAGGAGGCCCCAGCTCCCTCTAAGATGGAACTCCTCTGTGTGCTCAGCTGCCATGCCAGGGCTGCTGTGAAACCCAAACCAAGCGACGCACCAGAAATGCGAGGGGCCCTGCAGCCACACGAAGATGCGCATCTCAGTCCACACAGCCACTGAGGGCCCACAGGACTCCATGGGGAACACACAACCCAGGCCCACCCTCCAAAGGCCTGGCGTCCAGGGCAGCGTGGAGAAGTGAGAAGCGATGGCCAGCTATAAGAATGTTCCCCAGACTGGGTGTGGTGGCTGATGCCTGTAATCTCAGCACTTTGGGAGACTGAGGTGGGTGGATCACCTGAGGTCAGGAGTTTGAGACCAGCTTGGCCAACATGGAGAAACCTCGTCTCTACTAAAAATAGAAAAATTAGCCAGGCATGGTGGCAGGCACCTGTAGTCCCAGCTACTGAGGAAGCTGAGGCATAAGAATCACTTGAACCTAGGAGGTGGAGGTTGCAGTGCGCTGAGATTGCACCATTGCCTGGGCAACAGAGTGAGACTGTCTCAAAAAAAAAAAGTTCCCTAGAATTGCAGAGGCGGGAAGGCCAATTCCAACCCCAGAGCCACAGCCCCAGGGACTCAAGGACACAGTGGCATGTGGCTGCTCCCCGCCTGCCTCTGGGCAGGGTCTCAGCTGTCCCCAACACCGACTGACTCACAGACCCTAGAAGGAAATCACTTCCTCTCTGAGCAAGCCCAAGGGACATAGCCAGACCCAGGAGGACAGTGTGTGTCCTTTGTCCCCAAAGCAGGGTGCTGTCACAGAGCTTCCTCCAAACTCATGCACCTCTGCTCCTCCTTCAAACCTCCAATTAAGGCATCTTCTCCTCAGTCTCTTCCCCTGTTCCTCTGTCCTTGCTCCCATAGCCCCGGGTGACCCTTCAGCCAGGGCGTATAACCCATGGAGTTGTGGCTGACAGGACAGTGTCTGTCTTCAGTCACCGACAGAGGCTTCCGGGATTCTCATTTGTGTGTCCCCACAAGCTGGAATCAGCAATAATTAGTTAAGTGAGAAAACAGGTGATGTCCACCTGGAGCGCAGGAACCACACCGGCTCCAACAGCTGTGGGAACACTTGGTGCAGGTGGGCTTCCCCCTCTGCTAACAGGAGGCAGAGCTGCGGCTCCGCGGAGACCCAGGCAATGGAGATGCCCACCAGGGGCCTCACGAGCTGGTCACTTGGTTCCCTCTGGAATCTGTCCTGCCTGTCCAGAGAGGGCCTGACAGGGCGATGGAGAGAAAGAGAGCTGCCGCCATGAATCACAGGGCTCTGGAGCCTGCCCCAGTCCAGCCTCAGGAGCCTGGGGCCCCTTGCCTGTTCCAGCCTCCGAGTTCCCTGCTCCCCAGAGAGCTGCCCCCCACCCCTTCCCTCTCTCTGGCCCCAGAACAGAGCAAGCTGTGTGTACTGGGCTGGCACAGCTCCCTCCGGCCTCCCAGAGCAAACACAGGCCCAAGCCCCGGGTGCAGCCAGGCCCCACAGCCGCAGCCTGACCTCTCTGTGGTGGGGGGGGAGGCTTGCACCTTGGCCCCTGTTGAGGAGGTTGGCACCCTGTGCCTCCTGAGCTCAGCAGAGACCCAAATCAGTCCCCACCACAGGCAAGAGCTCAGAAAGCAGGTAATGCAATCTTCCCAGCCCCGGGAGCCAGCACGCTCGGCTCCAAGAGGTCTTCGTGGGCTTGGCAGGTTCTCCTTGCAGCTGCACCGGCCTGGAGAGGGAAGACCCCCTCTCCATACCTGAGGCCTGAAGGTACCCGGCCCCAGACCAGCCCTAACCCCTTCCAGAAGCTGGGGGCTTGCCCCTGGTAGGGAGCTCAGCCATTCTGCCCGGCCCATCCCTGGGACCTGAGTCACAGGCTGCGCCCTAGGGCTTCTTCCCCTGGCGGCCCCTCCCGGTGCGCCCGCAGCCCTAGGATTTCAGGACAGAGCCGGGGGGCGGGGTCAGTCGGCTGGTCCGGAGAGGGGCAGCGAGGTTAGAGGGGCTGGAACCAGAAGCCAGAGCTAGCCAGGAGGTCAGGAGGCTGCGGGAGGGGGTGGCGCAGCCAAAGGGGGAGGAGGCAGGGCCAGGGAGGGGCATAACAAAGGGGCACTTTTGGAAACCCGACCTGCCGGCCGGGGTGCCTTCTCCCAGATGACGCACTCTGAACCCCAGCCTTCACTCCAGAGCTCGGCGCCCAGGGGCTACGCGCCTCTGGCCTCAACTCTTACAGACCGCGCCCCTCGACAGGACCCCTTGCCGCCCGGAGCTGCATAACTCGGAGCCCGTGGAGCCACGCGGAGCGGCAGGGCCAGGCCTAGCCACCGAAGCTCTAGGACTTCTTGGCCAAACTTGTTGAACTTGGTCTCGGCGGGGGTGGGGCCACCGATCACTGCCAAGGGGAGGGGACACCCCCTGCCCGGGCCGGCCTCGCCGTGGGCTCCAGATGGTGGCCCCGGGCAGCGGACCCAGGAATCGGGGCTCGCAGCACAGGGCGAGGGGTCGCCAGGGAGCGAGGACCCTCTGGGGCCCCGGGGCGTGCGGGAGGCGAGCGAATGGGGGCCCTCGAGGGGCCCCTGGAGACGGCTCAGCCCTCCAGCGACTGCGCCCCCTCCCCCAGGCGGCCTGCGGAATTGCGGAGCCCGCGGCGCCGCAGATGGGACAGCCCCTCGGCGCGGCTACGGCCCTTCCCGTCGGCACGCAGAGCGGGGTGGCCGGGGGCTCCCTGGGCGGGAGTCGGCTCCATTGCAAACTTCAGAAGCCGGAGTAGGACAGGGCGGGCTCGAGCCACTGCACCCGCCGCCGCGTCCCCGCGCGTCCCCTCCAGGGCACTCACCGCGTCCTCCCTGGGCTCCTCGGCGGGTGGGGGTCCGGCCACGCTCCGGCCCGAGTCCTGCCGCTCCCGGGCCCGCGCCGCAGCCTCCCGGAGCGCGCCGGGCCCTCCCCCGGGAAGCCCAGCCCCCCGCCCCCGGCCCCGCCCTCTCCTGGCCGCCGCTGCCCCAACCCCACGCGGCTGGGCGGCGGAGCTGCGGCGCTGCAGGGGCAGCGGGGCTGCGGGGCTGCGGGGCTGCGGGGCTGCAGGGGCTGTGGGGCTGCGGGGCTGCAGGCATCGCGGCGACCCGCGGGTCTTGGGGTGCGGGCGGAGGTTTCTCTGCTCCGCCCGTGTGCGGAGTGCCTGGGCGGGCTCCCCAGGGTTGCACCCCGGTGCTGCAGGGAGCCCGATTTCGACTTTACCCCTCCCCGACCGTTGCAGAGGCTGGGAGACCCGAGGGAGCAAGAAGGGACCGGGCCGGCACTGGCAGCCTTGGAGCGGGGCCGGGGGCTGCACTGCCTCACATTTTTTGCTGAGCACAGCCTGTTTAGAAATTGGCTCAGGCGAGCCTCACAACCACCCCTTGTAAGCATTAGGATTCCCACCATACAGATGCAAAAACTGAGGCTGGGAGGCTTTTCAGAGGTTTGCCCAAGATTTCCCTTTAGTCGGGCAGGGCCAGGATTCCGGAACCGTGCCCTACCCTGTACAGCTGCCCTGCTAATCTGGGGCGCCTTCTAAGGCCTGAGACGAACACACGGTGGGGGTGGGACAAAAAGGCGTAAGCTCCTCCCCCTCCGTTTTCTTATTTCCAGATTTTTGTACCACGATTCATTCTTAAATCCCTTCGCCCCCCTTTATCAGTCTGGTACATTTTTCCGTATCGCCACGATCCCACTCCACGCTAAATAAATCCCTTCTCCCTCCCCTCTTCCCCCTGGGGGGAGATTTTGCAGAGCGGCCCCGTCTGTTATTTATATCCATTGGAGCGGTCCAAGAATGTTCGAAGCTGACCTAATCGCCACCTGCTCGGCCTCTCCGCCCCTCCCGCTCTCTCCTGGGCCCGGTGACCCAGCGGCGGTGCCCTGAGCGTTGGAGACTAGGGGGAGCGCGGGCCAAAGGGGTCGAACGCCCCGGGCGCAGAGGCTCCCGGGCGCGCAGATTCGCAGCGGGTCGGAGAGTCCTGGCGCTCTCGGAGGCGTGCTCCCCCAGGGACGCGGCGCTGAGCTCTCGCAAGCTGAGGCGCCTCGCTGCGCTCTCTGAAGCTCCTACTATTCCTCCCACCCCCAGCTCCCTGAAGAGTGTGAGTGCGTGCGCGCGGAGTTTTAAAAGGCAACTTTAAAAATAGCAAAATTATGTTGTTTCTAAATCCAGGAGGAATCGCTGACGCGTTCTTTACGCAGATGAATCCGCTCACAAAATGGAAAAGGGGCCTGGAGAAAACGAATGGGGGTAATTTTGCCCGCGGAGGGCTCACTTGCTGGGCAGTGCTGATGGAAGGGTAAAGCTGCCTCCCCAAGACACCTGTGGGGCACCCAAGGCGCGCCACCTTTGGCCTGAGGATTCTGGCCGTGCTTGGTAAAATCATACCTGAGTAGTGAATCTGAAACCTGGGATGTGGTTTCTGAAACCAGTTTCAACACCCACTCTCTCTTAGGGCTTGGACAAGTCTTCTCTCCTTATCTCTATTTCTACCTCTGTAAAACATGACAGGTGACCCGGATGACCTTCCACTGAGCCATGAGCCCCAGCTAATTAATGATTGTAAAAATAACTGCAGATCAGAGGAGCTGGGAAAATGGCAAATGACAGCCACAGGGTTTTGTATTCTTTAAAATCAGTTAACATCCCACCTAGCGCCTGAAGGCCTTTAGGCACCTAGACCGAAGTGTGAAAACACAAGAATGAAATTAATTACAGGAGTCACCTATTAAAACCTCATTAAAAATAAAGTTGGCAGCCAGGCTGTGGGATCTGGGAAAGCCAGGCCATAGAGAGACTCAGAAAACAGGGCTGTTCATTAGACCACAAGGAGAAGGGGATGTGGACTGGAAAACATCTGGCTTCCCTTGGGCTCAAGTCTGGGAGCAGAAAGCAGAAATGTTGCAGCTGATCTTAATTGCCCCTAAGGTACTGTAGGGGGGAAGAAAACAACAAAATAAAACCCAGAGTATAGGGGGCTGCTTCTAAGGTGAAAGCAGACAGACATGCCCTTGGAAAGCCAGCTCCCAGCTAATGCTACCCCCAGGGCTCCGATTCTGTGTTCTATGGCCAGAGCTCTTAACATCCACACTGCTCCATCAGTGCTGTCCTCAAGCCAGAATTCAAGATGAGATGTCAATAGACAGAGGGCTGCATAAAGACAGAAATCTGGCCGGGAGCAGTGGTGGCCCATGCCTGTAATCCCAGCACTTTGGGAGGCTGAGGCGGGTGGATCACTTGAGGTCAGGAGTTCGAGACCAGCCTGACCAACATGCTGAAACTCTGTCTCTACTAAAAATACAAAAATTACCTGGCCATGGTGGCGGGTGCCTGTAATCCCAGCTACTAGGGAGGCTGAGGCAGAAGAATTGCTTGAACCCGGGAGGTGGAGGTTGCAGTGAGCCGAGATCGTGCCATTGCACTCCAGCCTGGGCTACAAGAACAAAACTCCATCTCAAAGAAAAAAAAGAAAAAAAATGACAGAAATCTAAAGCTGGGCGCGGTGGCTCACGCCTGTAATGGCAGCACTTTGTGAGGCCGAGGCAGGTGGATCACCTGAGGTCAGGAGTTCAAGACCAGCCTGGCCAATATGGTGAAACCCCATTTCTACTGAAAACACAAAAAAACTAGCTGGCGTGGTGGCAGACGCCTGTAGTCCTAGCTACTTGGGAGGCTGAGACAGGAGAATTGCTTGAACCCAGGAGAGGCTGAGGTTGCAGAGAGCTGAGATTGCGCCACTGCACTCCAGCCTGGGCGAAGGAGACTTTCTCTCAAAAAAAAAAAAAAAAAAAAGACAAATCTAGCAAGGCACTTGGCTCAGGGTACCAATGGGCAGATTGGTCCATTGCCAAATATCGCTCCACTCACAGACTCACCTTGAGTTTCTGGAATGTCCTAACCACTGTGCCTTCATTTGTTTGTTTATGCATTCACTCATCCGGCCAAGAAAACACTTGAATTTTTACTCCATGCTAAGCTCTATGCTAGAAATGTTGGGGGTACAAAGTTAAATAAGGCAGAGTCCAAGTGTACAGCAATGATGCAATGCAGATAGAAGTATTGAGGGAAAACAGGCAGAAGGGATGGCCTTTCACAGGACATGACACTGATAGGTCTTGATGAGTAGGAATTAGTCATGTGGACAGGCATTCTAGGCAGGAGCGTCAGGGTGTGCCAAGCCCCAGGGGCGTTACCATATGACTTTGTGACCTAGCAATTCTACTTTTCGGTATTTACCCTGGACGGACATGTACAAATGCAGAAAGAGGCACAAGGATGTTTGCATATAGTACTGTTTGCAACAGGGGTGAACTAAAAACAAAAGTTCATCATGAAGGCAATAGTTGAATAACCTAAAGTTCATTCATGCTGTGGATTACTCTGCAAAAACTCAAGAACAAGCTAGAGGCAGGAGTTGGAGACCAGCCTGGCCAACAAAGTGAAACCCCTTCTCTACTAAAAATACAAAAAATAGCCAGACGTGGTGACATGTGCCTTTAGTCTCAGCTACTTGGGAAGCTGAGACAGGAGAATCGCTTGAACCCAGGAGGCAGAGGTTACAGTGAGCTGAGATTGCGCCATTGCACTCCAGTCTGGGCAACAAGAGCGAAACTCCATCTCAAACAAAAACAAACCAAAAAAAAAAAAAGAAAAAAGAAAGAACAAGGTAAAGAGAGAGGTATACTTTTTTTTTTTTTTTTTTTTTTGAGACGGAGTCTTGCTCTGTCACCCAGGCTGGAGTGTAATGGCGTGATCTCAGCTCACTGCAACCTCCACCTCCCAGGTTCAAGTGATTCTCCTGCCTCAGCCTCCCAAGTAGCTGGGACTACAGGCGCCCGCCACCTCGCCCGGCTAGTTTTTTGTATTTTTTTAGTAGAGACGGGGTTTCACTGTGTTAGCCAGGATGGTCTTGATCTCCTGACCTCGTGATCCGCCCGTCTCGGCCTCCCAAAGTGCTGGGATTACAGGCTTGAGCCACTGCGCCCGGCGAGATGTGTTCTTATAGGAAGATCTCCAAGACAATGTCAAGGGAAAAAAGCAAAATGCAAAACACACTAAATCTTCACAGAGAATATACATCATACTGATTTTGGCGTTTATCTTTAGGCAGAGGTCTAGAATTGGTAAGGGACATTTTTGTAATGTTAGAACATTTATAATGAGAATGTACCCATGTGTAAATTATGTGACTAAAATTAAAAACTGGGGGGTGGGTGAGTGGGTATTCGTATATAAAACAGTGCTGTCCAATTATTTTCTGCAGTGATGGGAATGTTCTATAGCTGTGCTGGCCAATCTGATAGCCACTA